GAGTGGTGGTGAAATCCAGGTGGTGACCAGTCACCAGTGGTGTTCCCCAGGGATCGGTGTTGGGGCCCATCCTCTTTAACATCTTTATTGATGATTTGGATGAGGGAATTGAGTGCACCCTCAGTAAGTTTGCATAGGGACCTGGACAGGTTGGGTTGATGGGCAGAGGCCAATGGAGTGAGGTTCAACATGGCTAAGTGCTGGGTCCTTAGGAGGAATTTTCCAAGCAGTAACTCAAATCTAATCATTACTCAGATATCTTTCTTAGCAACCATTTCTCTTAAAAATCTTGGCTCTTGCAACCCCATCATTGGCGTACTCGCTGTGTGTTGTGCCAATATCCATTCCTTCCTATGACTGGACATTATTAGGTTCTGCATTATAGGCTGAAATCCCACCTGAAACGAGAAAGAAACACTTAAACAGAGGTGATATTTTTCACCACACAAACAAAAGTCACAACCTAAATGTATTGTTTTAGTTTGTGTGTCTCTTTTCACCAGTATTTTTGGCCACAGTATTAGCATTTTCAGCTACTTTTGTCACTGGGGTGTTCCATTTGTGTCTTAGCATTGTGCAGAAATCATAATTTGCATCCAGACTTGGTGCTCATTATCTCCTTGCAGTGTTTTGCTAATCTAACATCTTCAGTTGTAGGACTGTTTCCTTTTGTTCGTAGTCCTTCAACTCTAACAGCATTAATAACCTCAGACGTACTTGTGTTGTAGTTGGAATAAAGGGCCCCAACTACCATGACGTCTTCAGCTGTGATCACTTCTCAGGAAAAAAAAAACATGTTTCCTTCAGCGAGGACCATATGGTTTAGGAATTAATGTGAATTAAGGTCTGTCTTTGGGGTTGTATGGATTGTAGCTTTTTATAGGTAGGTATAGAAATATAAAAGAAAGCAAATGGGCAGGTGAGGAGGAGGAAAAAAAAACTCCTTGTGACTGAAAAATGTCATGATATTTGCTGAGTTTTCCAAAAGTCTGCTAGAGAGCTAAACACATCATATTTTTCTATTCCTTTTGGTGAGTACAATGAAGTATTATTCCACACAGCAATAAAATGAGCAGGGGGACTGGGATGTGTTTAGTTTGTTTTAAGTGCTCAGTTTTACAGCGTTACCATGCTTGACTTTTATATGTGTGAAGTGTTATAAAGCTGCCATTTTAAAGCTGACAAAGCCATGGCTTTGAGCTGCTGTTCCTTTTTCCACGCTGGGAATTTATTCTGGATTTGATTTTATCATCCAATACAAAATCCCTGTGCCTTATACGCTCTTCACTGTCCTGTGTCCCAACAGTCTTATGCTGCCATTTGTCAGCCTGGAAGAAAGGAACATCAATGCAGCAGGGAAAATATTTTTATATATATTAGAGCTCTTCATCACTTGCAGGCTGCCTGTACACATTTTGATCTCTACTCTCATAGTTTACCTGTTTTTTTGTCATGCAGAGAGGAAGCGAGGTCAGCCCAAGGAGTGGGCAAAACCAGCAGATGTGTGGACTATGGGGACACTGGACAGGAGTGCCTACCCCACCTCTGTCTATCAGAGCCTTATAAAACCAAGACAGCTGCTGCTGCAAAGATGACAGGGTACCGAGAGCACCATTACTGCTGTGTAAGGTTTTTCAGCTGTAAGACCACTGCTCCTGTCCTCCCCAGCTGCATCAAGGGTGCCAAAAACATCGTTTTCCCTTGGGTCAGCCCCTGGCTCCATCTCTGTTCTGCTCTACCCTGGGCAGGAGGAGCAGCTTTGTCGCTGATCCGCAGGGCAGTGCAGAGCAGCCCTCAGAGGGATGGAGCTTGCAGGGGATTGTATCCGAATGCGTGCAGCAAATGTTTGGGGATTGTACGGATAAGTGTACAACTTGGCAAACAAGTGAGGCGTGAGTGTAGGCATGAATAATGAAGCAAGATTCCCCCTGCTAGCTCAGTCCCTGCGGTGCATAAAGGGTAATTAACCTGACTGCATGCAGCTGCAGTCTCTGGGCCTCTACACTTAGTTAAAAAAAAGGTTTTTGAAACAAGATTTATTATCTAAAGTATGAAATAGGAACAATTAATCTCTTCGTTCCCCAGAGAGCCCTGGGAAGCAAGCAGCAGTTTCATCATGTAGATGCCAGCTGCCCTGATCCTAACCAGCATCCCTCCCTTGGTGCTGACAGCTGGAAAATGGGTCGATGCCAGTTATATTTGGCCAAAAAGTTGTCTGAAAAATGTTGGGGGAAAAAAAAAAAAGCCTTCTGGTGGACACTGTAGGCAGTTCTGGCTAGGCCTCTCATACTTCGCAAAATGCTTCAAACTTGGAAAGTCTGAGCTGAGTAAGCAGCACGGTGCTTGATGCAGCATTTCATTTCCTTTACCTTTTATCCGTGTTTCTCTTGGGACTGTACTGCATTTCTCTGGCAGTGGAGCGTGACAGCCCTTACCGCTGGACCTGCCTAATTTAAGTAATGATAGCCAGCCAAGGTATCGCTCCAAGTTTTAGAGGGGGTGAGGGGCTGGGATGGGGAACAGGCCGTGTTACGATCTTGCCAAGTCCCAGCTCTCTACTTCTTGCCTCAAAAGAGATGTAAACTTTTGCTCAGCTGAACCCGATGTCTTGGCAGCAAGATTAGGGGGTTGCCTTTCAAGGAGGCCCCTGCTGCTCCTCTAGCTTTCTGCTTCAAAAACCATGGATGAGATTTCAGTTTCCAAGAGGGCTGGCCATACCTGCATTAAAATAAATCAATTTCTGTGGTCGCCCAAGCCATCCTTCAGTACTGTCCCAGTGTATGACCCTCAAGGTAATACTGGTTATCACGGCTGGATCAACATACTTGCTGTTGCTGACTCTCATAATCTGGGCTTTATATTTCTCCATGTTCTTCAAATCTTTTTTGACAAACTTCTCTGAAGCAGGAACTCCTAAGGCAAAACATGCATCACTTTTCCTTTCATTTTTAAAATCAGAAACAATTTTTTTCAGATATGACTGAGCTGATATTTGGAATCCTTTTGAATCTCTTTAGAGATTAGTAACAGAATCGACTAATTTTGGTGAAGTAGCCTAGATATCAATAGATGGCTGATATAAAAAGATATTTTTTTCAAAACCAGAGGGCAGATCTTTCATGTGCAGACTAAAAGGTGTGTCCATTTTAAATCCAAGCCTTTGGTTGGATTAATTCCAGATTTACTTATTTTAATTTACAGCTACACTAGAGAAATGTTCAAAAACTTAGATCATGAAGAAACCCTCATAAGGGAGAGAGAAAAACAGGTTTAATGGCTGGGATTGAATGTACCCAGGGGACCGAGTCTTCACTGTGATGGTCCTGAATATTCCTTCCAGCATCTCAAGGTTCCCAAGGAAGATCTTTGTCATGGTGTAAATATCTGCTCACTTGGCAGTGGCTGATGGTCAAGGACTTGGATTTGCCACAAGCTCATGCATGGATTTGAGGGCAAACGAACAACCGAATTATCACACACTTGGTGCTAGCCCTTCCAGTTTGCAGCCTCTGAAGCTCCAGCCATGTCGACATCCAATATCTTCCCACAGAGATCAGAACAGCCAAAAGAGCAGCATTTGCAGTGAAAAGTCAGGCCGGAGCAATGTGTGCAGCACGTGCCATTGAAATATTTTCAGATCCAGAAGTGGAAATGATTGGCATCGTATAGACAGTAGCATGCACCTTTATGCTAGGAGATGAAGTTACGGCATCATATTTGTGCACAATTAATTTCTCCTAGTTTTAGCTTGCCTAAAACTGAGTTGTTCAATGTAAGTTTGCCACTCAAGCTTCCTGCAGAGCCAGTGCAGAAAGGCACCCCCAAAAGGCTCTTATCCATTTCAAAATAAAAGAATCAATTAGTCAAGAGAAAGCCCGCACAACTAACTGGCTCCAGTTTGCTTTCCCATAGCTACCATCAACAGAAAAAATCAAAGAGAAGCATCCTATAAATGTCTTACTTGCAGTTTAGCTACATTTATCTGTTGCCTAACCACACTGTTGCAGAAAGGTAAGTAAGATACAAATAGCAATGGATAGGAACAATGCCAATCCGGGCTCAGCAGTTAATGGAAATGAGACTTTGGTGGAATTAATTATTTACACGAATATTAGAGAAATGTCACCAAGCTGACATGCTTGCTGCAGGATGTCTCCCCACTGTGTCTCTGGGCGCTTGCTAGAGATGTGTGGGTGTTACGGCTGCTCTCAGCCAACTCAGCACTTCCTACACAGCAGGGCTTTTATGGGAAATGGGAGCGCCCGACACCTCCTTATGTAGCCACCCAAACACAAGGTTTCTTCTCTAGCCACCGTTCAAAAAGGAAGTAACTTTTAATTGGATTCAAAACCCGGCTGCTAGTTGTTTGGAAGTAGGAGGAGCCTCATCTGAAAACAGCAGCTGCCTCTTGCTGGAAGCAAAAAAGTGATGGCAATGGGAAAAGAGGAGCCCGAGCTTTTGGATGTCATAAAGCTATTGGGGGCAAAGACCCCGCAAAACTACCACACGACAGAGCTGCAGTTACTGAGAATTTGGGTATGCAGGGGGTACGCGAGGCTCCTGGTTTTATCGCTTCTCAAAATGAGCACACAAGTAACCACACAGTGTGCATCAAAACCACAGCAGCTGTTTGGAAGTAAGAAAGCAAGCCACTGGATGGCAGACCTCCCCGTCACTACTCATCCATGCCTGACTTGCCGCCCCTGTGCTGAGTGTTGTGAGGGTGAAATGCTGTTTTACTCTGATCAGCTCTTTCACATTTCACGTGGGAGATCAGGAAGGATTTCTTCATGGAGGTGGTGGTCAAGCTTCGGAACGGGCTGCACAGGGAAGTGGTGGGGTCCCCATCTCTGGGGGTATTTAGGTAGGTACCTGGAGCCCTGCGTTCAGCTCTGGGGCCCCCAGCACAAGGACATGGATGTATTAGAGTGAGTCCAGAGGAGGCTCATCAGGATGATCAGAGGGCTGGAGCACTTTCCTATGAAGAGTGCTCCTACGGAAATATGAGTACACTGGATTCCTGTTTCATTTGCTAATAAGACGTTTATTCATTTTCTATTTGCTTATCCCTGTATAACTGAAAACTGACAGAAAAACCCATCTCTGTTCTATGCATTTATATGAAAAAATAGAATTCAGAAAAAAAAAGAAAGACTATTCCATAATATGAAGTAAGTATCAGGCAGCTCTGAAAAAAAAAATAAATCATTAAGCAGATACCCAAGGAAGTATTTTGCCTTTTGATTTCTTTAGAGAATGACAGGTTTGAGCAGAAATGCACTTTAAGATCTGGAAGGCAGAGTGTTATCAATAGCAATGCAAGATAGGCCTCAAAGCAATAAGACCGGCCTCAAAACTAAGAGAAATATGTAGATAGCACACAAGATTCTGTTAATATTCCCTTTGTAAAATCCCAACCATATAGCTTTTAAAGAAACTACATAACGAGTGTCTCACTGAATATTGTTTCTATAAATGGGAGTGGTAGCCTGCAAATTCTTGTTTCACGTAAGCCATTCCTGTACTCTTGCATCTGTATGGACTTGGATGCACCTTCTTCCTTTGTGTTTTGTGATGGTGGGGAAGTCACTCGGTGCAGGGGCCCCAGCCTAGTATCCGTGCTGCTTGTAATACTGGGCTCGAGCGACCACGTCGTTGGCGTAGTCGTCATGGGTAGTGCCAATGTCCATCCTCTCATAGGTTCGGACGTTCCCGTCTCCGGCATTGTAGGCAGAAATCCCACCTGAAATGAAGCACAGAAAGATGTCACGCAGCCTTTAAACAAAATTCCACCCTGATGTGTCCTGGTTTTGCTTGTGTAGGATTGGGGATGTGGTGTTATCAGAGCTTCTCTGTCTTAACCAGGGCTCTGCAAAAGGCCTACACGTATTGCTGCATCCACCAACATGTTGTAGAGATACTGGGGGTACGTTCACAGACACTGGGAGCTTGATGAATTTGCATCACCCACCTTGCCCAGCACAAGCCCTCCGGCTGCAGCAGGCTTGTTCACAGCACGATAGAAGATCCCACAGCCTCGTAACTTCTCACTCATTCTTGAAAACTACTGCTCTCTAACGAGCTTTAAAACATAATCACACCTTGCACTGCACAGGGGCTGCCAAGCAGCAGGCAGTGTTTCCATGTTGCATGACACCACTTTGCAGTCCCCAAATACCTCTTTCCCCCCATCAACAGCAATACAGAGGGAGCTGCTGGCTGCGTTCAAGCTACTCAGAGCTCCTTATTAACTTGGGTGGTTGTGGGAGATTCCTCGTCGTCAGATGAGGAGCGTTGGACTCTTCTATAAATCAGATTTCAGCTGCATAAATATTTGCTGTGTGGCACTGAAAACACGCAGAGGCTGTCACGTTAAGGAAAGGCGGAAACAACACAGTTTGCCAAACATTGCCTTTTGCCTGTGAAAAAAACTCTGAAAATACCAAGGGATTCAATGGGTACATTGTCCAGAAAAGAAAGACCAAGGGGATTTATTCCCTCTGGTGGATGATAACGAAGAACTGTTAATGACACAAGGAGAAGGCTGAGGTACACAACAACTTCTTTCCCTCGGCCCTCACTGCCAGTCAGGCTTCCCACGTCTCTCGTTTCCCCGAACCTGTGGGTGAGGGCTGAGGGAGCAAAGTGCCTCCCCCTGTAAGCAAAGAGCAGGCTCCAGCCCACCCGATGAAACTGAACAGGTACGAGTCTATGGGGCCCGATGACATGCCCTGACAGCGGCCCTGTGGGAACTGATGTAGTTGCCAAGCCTCTCTCCAACTTATTTGAAAAGACCTGGCAGTCAGGTGAAGCCCCTGGTGACTGGAAAAAGGGAAAATATCACTCCCATTTTTAAAAAGGGTGGGGAGGAGGACCCAGGGAACTACAGAGCAGTGAGCCTACTGTGAACCTAATGGGCTGTTAGAGTGGGGCCAGAGGAGGGCCACCAAGATGATCAGAGAGCTGGAGCACCTCTCCTATGAAGATAGGCTGAGAGAGCTGGGGCTGTTCAGCCTGAAGGCTCTGGGAAGAACTCACTACTGCCTTTTGGTACTTAAAGGGGGCTCAGAAAAAGATAGAGAGTCATTTTTTACAAAGACAGATAAAGATGGGACAAGAAGGAATGGTTTAAAATTAAAAGGGGGGATTCAGATTAGCTGTTAGGAAGAAATTCTTCACTCAGAGGGGTGGTGAGGCCCTGGCACAGGCTGCCCAGAGAAGCTGTGGCTGCCCCATCCCTGGAGGTGTTCAAGGCCAGGCTGGATGGGGCTTTGGGCAGCCTGGTCTGGTGGGAGGTGTCCCTGCCCATGGCAGGGGGGTGGAACTGGGTGGTGTTAAAGGAGATCCAATTCCAACCCAAGGCATTCTATGACTCTGTGAATTCATTCAGTGTGTTCTTGTCCTAGACTTTTTCTTCTCCCCTGGACAAAATCTATGGTCTGCACATTACCTTTCAGCTGCTGGTCCTTTGTCCAGTTTGAGAACTTCTTCTGTATTCTCTTTATAAAATTGATAAGTATCGTCGTGCCCTGAGTGATATGGGCTTCTCCATTCCACGTCCCCTGGAGTTTATGGTATCTTTTGTCAACCTAGAAATATCAAAAAGTCATTTCCCTGTGGCAATGGATGACATGTCTAGGAGGTTTACTTTTATTCATATGACATTAGTTTGTCGGCTTTTAGTGGAGCATCAACAAGTACCTGCATTAAGCCAAATCCATTTCCATTGTCACCCCAGCCGCCCTTGAGTATTTTACCAGCATGAGATTCACGAGAGATGATACCAGCAATCACAGCGGGCTCAATACACAGCTTTTCACCCACTTTCTTAATGAGTGTTTTGTATTTATCCATAGCTTTCAGGTCTCGTTCAGCAATCTTTTTTGAAGCTGGAACTCCTGTAATGAAACCCAAAAGTAAAGATGCCTTCGTCTCCAGGAGGCAGACCATGCCTCTAGGTAGATCATGCAGGCTCAGCAGCCGGTGTGTGCCCAGCATTTTGGAAATCTGAAGGATTTGGGATTATTGTGCTACCATGGAAGAGAGCAATCTGGAAGAAGAGAGATACTTACCGCAGTAGGTTAAGCCCTCTGGTTTTGCAGTTTTGCATGAAGCCCCGGTGGTGTCAATTCTGTTTACACTGCCGTAGCAATCCGTGCGGCCCTGGCAAGCACCTGAAAAGGTTGTGTGGAGAGTCGAGCATCCAGCACCCTACATCCTGCACCTTGCAACCTGCACCCTGCACCCACCCCTCCCTCAGAGGTGACCCCTCCGGCAAGGCTCACAGGAGGAGCTGAGCGCCTTCCCGGCCCAACACAATCTGATGGCAACTGAGATTTTGGGGAGGGGACACAGGGAGGTGTCTTAATCTCCTGGGGCTGCTCGGGGAATGAGCGGGGGATGTTGACTTACCCAGGAGGGCAGCAAGGCCCAGCAGCACGAGCGTCAGGCTCATGGGGTAGTTCTTCTTGAGCACACAAAGCAACCTGCAAAATCAATCAGAAAAGAAGAAGAAATGAATACGTTTCTCTGCTTGCTGAGTAAACACGAAGAAACTGTTTCTGAGCTGGTGGGATATTTCTCTTGGTTGGGTGTGCAAAGTGGTATTTAAGTGCAGTCATGTCCCTTTGCTGGCTTGCAAGCCCTCACCAGAGCCTTGGGATCTCTCATGTCTGATGATGTTTCCAGCACACATTTCCTACAGTGTCTTAGTAACCTCCTTCCAACCTCCTCCAACTTCAATATTTAATTCAGAAAAAAATAAAATGAGTGATGTTCAGTGATCTTCGCTGCTGTGCTCCCACCATGAATGCCCTTATTCTGTACCCATAATCTATACAAACCTCCTTCATGACATCAAGACAGCTTTGCTGGAGTCTTCTGAGGCTTTATATACAGAAACTGGCACTTGCAAGCTACACTTTGTCTAAATTATTGTGGATGACTATTTCAGGGGGAGCTGTACTCCAGGAGCACCTTGCTGGCTACTAAGGGAACCAGGGGAGATGGGCTCACATGTGGATGGGAGCCGTCTAAATTCAGGTGAGGTGAACCTGGGTCTAGAGGATCTTCATGTCCTTATGCAAGCAGAAATCTCATGCAGCAAAAACCTGCAGCCTCCGGGCTGCTGAGGAGGTGGCTGAAGGGAATGAGAAGACCCCCACGCCCCACCCAGAGCGGTATCTTACCTACTTGTCTTCAGCTCAGCTTCTGCCACAGGTCTGAGGGCTGGGGAGGTTTAATATATAGGGTGAGCTGCCTTCCGTTCTGTGGTAACTTGACCCTGTGTTGAAATGCACTGGGCTGTGGTTTGTAAGGTTTAACAGCAATTTTCCAGTGTGATCAGAACCTGTTGCACTATAAACATTGGCATGGTGGCAGCTACGGTCTTGGGAGTGGCATTTCCCAGATGTCAAAAAGGAAACAAAACCACCTTGTTTTTCTCTGGGTGACTCTTGTGTTTCACACCCTATTCCTGGATGGAACCTCAGTGAGGGCCGAGCATCCACCTGTCATGCAGGTACTTGTCCTGGTCCCATCTTGGTGTCCTGGGCTGTTCTGCAGGACAAGCTCCTTACCAGCCCCAGAAAGACCTCTCCATCCCTCCATTCCCCAGACACATTTCTGTTTTCCCCACCACTTCAATTGCTCTTTGAAACCCCTCTCTTCTCCTGCCCCACCTCTGTCCAGAGCCAGTTTTGGGGAGGTGCAACCCTTGAAGAAAGAAAAAGGATGCAGCAAAGTTCGGTGGGCAAAGGTGCTGTGCAACAGCCTGTTGGGCAGTGGTGGGGATCTCCTCATAGCGCTGCCAAAAATCACAGAATCACAGAATGGCTTGGGTTGGAAGAAACCTTAAAGCCCACCCAATTTCAACCCCCTGCCATGGGCAGGGACACCTCCCACCAGACCAGGTTGCCCAAAGCCCCATCCAGCCTGGCCTTGAACACCTCCAGGGATGGGGCAGCCACAGCTTCTCTGGGCAACCTGTGCCAGGGCCTCACCACCCTAGTAGTAAAGAATTTCTTCTGAATATCTAATCGAAATCTGTCCTGTTTTATTTTAAAACTGTTACCCCTTGTTTTATTACTCCATTCCCTGATAAAGTGTTGCTCTTCATCTTTCCTGTAGACCCCCTTTAAGCACTGGAAGGCTGCAGAAGAACGAGTATCGGCTTCTGTGGCTTCTGTTTTTTTCGTCTTTGGAGGCTGTGGTCAGTCTCCAAAGGGTGTGTAGATAGTGCAGTGAGGACTTCTTGGGCTAGAGATGCCCAACTGTGTATTTGTGGCGAGACCTAATGAGTTCTGCCAATGCCTTTCTGGACAAGTTGCCTTTGCTGGTACGCAGTGATGCAGTGGGCATCACTCCCACCTCCCAGAGCACATCCTGGACGCGGAGCCTACTGCACGGTGCCGGCAGTGGTTAAAGGAGCAGTGCGTTGCTCCACCAGGTTTACCTTTATTGTTCTCCTGTTCCGTAGCTGGCGAGTGCTTAGGGGACCTGGAAATTTTGCTCAAGAATATTGTTATTGTAACATTATCTTCTTGAAATATCACGGAAGGAGAAGCTGATAACAAACAAAGGACCGGGGATTTCCACTCCCTTTGAGTTGGAAAGAACAAGTTAAATAACAATAAGTTGGCTATTAATCAATTGCTATGGTCCTGGGGCTAGCTCTCTTTGTACCTTCTCCATACCTTCTCCAAAGGATCCCTCTCAAGCCCCATGATTTCGCCTTTCCCACAGGTACTGTGCTCCCGTGGTGGGATCACCACAATAATCTGTCAGCAGCGCCTTCCCCGCCACTCCGACCTGCTCTGCCTCTGCAGTTCACTCCCTCTGGTAGCCAGAGGAATGCCATGATCCCAAACAACCTTCTTAAAATGTTGCATATTTAGCTCTAAACACAAAGCCCGACTTTGCAGGAAGGAGGGCTGCAGATGCCCAAGCATACTCACGTTCCTCAGCTTCTCAGTACAACCTCTGCTCCAACCCCAGCCAGCCTGGTGGCCTGTGCTGGACCTGTTACACCATGTCAGAGTCCTTTCTGTGCTGGGGAGCCCAAAACTGGGAGTGCCAAATAGACGGCAAGAACCACTTCACTGGACCTACTGGCTGATGCTTTTCCTAATGCAGCCCAGGATGCTGGTGGCCTTCTTTGCTGCAAGGGTGCATTACCTGCTCATGGTCAACTTGTTGTCCACCAGGACGGCCAGGACCTTCTCTGTGGAGATGATTTCCAACTGTGGGGTCCCCAGCAAGGACTCGTGCCAAAGGATGCTCTTAATTTATCACAGCTCTTAATCTATCACAGCAATCACATGGGAGAGGCAACTCTGGTTCACCCAGAAGTCAGACTGATGGGCTCAGGGTCAGACCTGGTACCAACTACTCTTCAGTGGTATGTTGCCTTCTTCACCTCTTCTCTTAACAGAGCAGCACTCATTTTCTCCAGCTCTTTTCAGTAGGACATCCCTCATCTGCTGGGTTCATGCTTACCACCACTGAATGTCCTTGTCTTGTGTAATGTCCATCACCATCTGCCACAAGCTGCCTGCTCACGTCCTACTTTGGGACATGGAGTTGAATTTAAATATCAGATTAATTTCTATATTATTCTCCTATTTCCCTGTACTTGCAACAAGAAACCTTTGCTGTTCTTCAGGAGGCACGGTGCTGGCAGCAGGGCAGTTTGCAGGGGTGAAGGCCCAGGAGAGTCCTGGGTCAGCTTCACCCTCAGACCTGGGCTTGTTCCTGCTCTTAAGTTTGTCCTCTATTGCTAATTAGCTCAATAAGGGTTAATTTAGAAATGAGTGATCCTAGTTACGCCTTCAGGGGAGAAACGAGACTGCTGCAAGCTTCCCAGCACAATTAAAGCCCATTTAGGCAGTGCAGGAGGAGGATGGCAGCCACCCCATCTGTGAGAGGAGGTGGGAGGCTCTGGGTGCCAGGAGGCCCCTGGTCCTGAGGGGAAATGAGGGGGGCATAAATAGGGCCTGAAGCACCAGTGAGGTGGGAGAGGTAGGCAGGGGGGTATGATCCTTGGTGCAGGGATGAGGTGGTGGCTTAGAGAGCCATGTGGGGAGCTGGGGAGCTTCAGGGACAAGAGGAACCAGCCTAGGAGGGGTGGGCTCCACCTGAGCTGTAACCGAGCCAGGCTGCAGCTCTGGAGGTTGGGAAGGTCGTAGGGGGGATGTTTAAACCAGAAGCTGGGGAGAGCTGGCAGAAGCAGAGGAATACCCAGTTTGGACTGATGGGATCTCAGAGACTTGGTGGAGGCTACAAAATCCATGGGATACAGCACTGCCAGCCTTACAGGAATGAGATGTGGTGGAGGAGGGATGCCCCATGTGAAGGATACAAGTGTAGCACCATAAAAATATTGCAGGAAAAGTGAGGCACCCTAAAATCCCGTGTGAAGAAATCCCAGACAATACTAAAAAGAAACAAAAACATGGTTGGACTGTACTATTGTCTCTCTATGAAGACAATGCTGGTCAGGTGAGATTGGAGAGGCAGCAAATGCAGGAAGGACAGTGGTAAGAGCAGGAGCCTACGTGTAGGTTAGACCAGTGCCTCATCAGGGTGAGGCACAGAAACAGACTTTTTGGTGGCAATAAATCACAAAGAGATGACGTGGAAAATGCAGGCCATGTGCTCTCAGTGGGAGAGCTTCAAGGAAGACAATTAAGAAAACTGAGGCAAACACTAAAAGCAACAGTGCCTACATAAAAAGGAAGCAGCCCCAAAGCAGAGAAGCCTGTGAACATCCTGGAGGCTGCTCAAAAACAACTTGTTGGAAGCCCACGTTGAGGGTCTCTGCCTCTCAGCAAGGATGTAGACTAGGAGAAACCTGGCTAAAATCAACAGGGGAATGGTACAGCCCTGTCACGAGGGGGGATGAAAGAGGCTGGAAAGCAAAAATGTTGGTCACCACATCCTGCAGCATAAAACCCAAGGGGCACTCAGTGAAACCAGGAAGAGACCGGTTTAAAACAGGCAAAAGGCAACATTTCTTTCTGCAGCAGAAGGTGGACTTCTGGGCTGATAGCACTGACACTTTCCCCAAATGACTGGATGGATTCAGCAGCATCCTACAGAGTGGATGTGTATGCCTTCCCCGGGCAGCATCTTCTGCTGCAGCTGCTGGAGGCAGACCTGTGGGGTGACCACAAGGCGTTTCTCACGTTCATCTGACATCTCCAGCCGAAGGAAGGGCCAGCGTTGCCCTTTCTGACCCATATAAACATGAACTTGTTTCTACCAGGAAGGAAAATCCTAAGATGAGCCTAATATTTCAGGGTGTGGTTCTGCGTGTGCAACCACAAAAAAAGCTCAGACAGGGGAACAGGTTCTTGGCCTGGGAAATCCCAGCCCAGCTTGCAACAGGCAGCAAAGCAGAACAAACAGCTTTTCATGTCTGCATTGCTGTGGTGGCATTTCCCATTGTTTTATGTCTCTCGGAGAGAAGACGTGTGGACATGTGGCTCAGATCCATCCAAATCCAGCATTCAGAGTCAGCCACCAAAGGAACCTGCATGCCCACATGGCTCACAGGCTCTGGCCCATGGGGAGTTGCCTTTGGCAGGGTTTTCCTGCTGTTTCAGCTATTGCTGTGTTGGTTGCTCACTCTGCCTGGTGTCCGTGGAAGTCCATCGCTGCAGCCCCAGGCTCTGGGCAGACCGGTGCCTGAGCCACGGAGGGGTCAGCCCACACCACCCGCAGCTCAGCCAGGGGGTGAGGGAGAAAACTTGATGTGTCAGATTTACTATTTATTATAGAAAAGCACATTTAAATACTCTTCTCAAGATTGGTAGCAGAAACAGTGCACAAGATCCTCACAAAGAAGCTCTTGCTTCCTTGTCTGCAGTTTATTGTCTTTCCTATTTGCTGCCTGTGGAGTCCGACGGCCTGGAAAAGGTTCTTCCTTCTCCTCATGCATTCCCCATATCTACAGCAGCATGGCATACATACATGTTAAATATTGGTCTGGTTTGTTCCTTGAAACATCCAGCAAATGTTGCGTTGCTTCACTGCCCTTGGAATATTTCTGAAATAACCGACACAGACCTGTTGCCAAACTCAGCACTACTTGCCCTACGCTCCAGGGGAAGGGAAGGATGTGGGTCATTGCCCTCCACTTCTTTTGTGTATTAGAAAATTAAGACTGTTGTTTTTCTTTCTTTTTCTGGAAAAAAAAAGTGTATTTCCTTTTTTATTATAGGCAGTACCTTCCACTTGACTTGCAGTTTTCCCGATAACATTCTTGATGCAACACATCCAAACACTAATGCTGACTTCAGAAGAACAGAGAGGAGAATTACCCCAGGTGCTACATTCACTGTGCTATGATAAAGATAAATCCCTCTTTTTTTGTTCCCTTCTCCCTTTTCATGACATCAGCTCATTGGGTTTCCACAGCAATGCCCCAGCCCTTTTCACAGGATGGCCGCCTGCTTGCTCCTCCCCTCCTTATGCCCATCCCCAAGTTCCTCGAGTGTTTTGCAATTGTATTTACTCATTTTCAGTACTGTGATCCCTAAAATGGGTTTCCTTAGTTTTTAACCATTGGTAGAAGTGCTTGTGTTCAATCAGCGTTGTCTTCACCCATAGTTTGATAGCTCTAGTGCAACATTCACATCACAACCACAAATTGCATAAAAATCTCTGCAGGACAGGCTTCCGTGGCTCCGCTTGAATCATCTCACCAGTTCGACCAGAATCTGCTGATAGCTTCTCCAAGCAGTGCTTTTTGTTCTCATCTTCAGGCCCTTGACATATCAGGGTACTTCACGGATCACTGGTGAAAGCCTTATCAAGCTCGTGATATGGCACAGCCGCAGCGTCTCTCTTGGCAACTTACCCAGTGAGATAAGGATTGTGGTAGGCTTGAGGCACTTTATTCCTGGCAAGCCACACTGCCAGAGCCCTCCTGACTGCTTCTTGATGCCTTGTTGTCCCCCAGGTGCTCACAAAGTAAGTGTTCAATCCTTTATTCCTGTCTGTCCAGGTGCTGTAGCTGGGCTCTTTAGTATACACTTTGCTGGACCTTTCTTTCCCCTTTTGTTTATCTCTTCTCTTTCCTGACTCGTACTTCAGCTTTCCACGACATGTTACAAGGCAGAAGACCACTCGCTTTGCAAGCTGCCTGTTTTTCACAACAGGCTCGGTGACCGAGCGTGCTGCCACAGCAGCCCCGTGCGCCCCAGCCAGACAAGCGGCTCCGAGTACAATGGACCAGGGAAAGATCAGAGAGCAAAAGCAACGCCAGCTCTGCTTGTTAAGAAAGCTTTTGCTCAAACCTGAAAGCAATATGCTGATGTTAAACTCTCCTTAATTATTTACTCCTTCCTGCCAATTTATTAAGCAATTATATTTCAATTCACTTTCCACAGGGATTTTCCCTCCTCTGCACAATCTGCTGATACCATAAAATAATATTTGCAACAAAATATGGAATTGCTGAAATCAGGACCTTTAAATAGACTTAAAACATTTCTTTGTGCAAAGCTGCAGAAACCAGCAGGCAGATCTGCAGCCCCTCGGGTGGTGTTACCGTAACGTGAAGCAGCAGCCTCAGAGGTAATGCACGCAGAAATTGGACTCCCAAGGTGTCCACAGATCCACAGGGATGGCAACTCACAGCAATGGCATGGAGCTTGCTGGCAGCAAATAAAGGTGATGTGAGGGGAACAAGGAAAAGCTCCACTCTTGTGCATCCTCCAAACTCAAAAAACAACTCTGCAGACAGAGGCAGCACTGAGGTTCCCTGCCCCCAGCCCTTGCAAAGTTTATATTGTTCTATCAAAAGTGTTCATATTGTTCTGCCTAAGGTGTTTATATAGGTTGCACACAGTGTAAGGTGTTTGTATAATAGAGATTTACATAGCACAACGAAGCAGAGATTTCAATTAATCTTACATAAGCTATATCAAGTAGAGATAATGAAACTGTGTGTTAGGTCTCTCAAGTCTGCATTACAGAGTAGTCATTTTACTAAAATTATCTGAGTATAGCACAGAATTCACTAGAGACTAATTAATACATAGCTGAATACGCCCGGTAGCCCAACACTGAACTGTTTCCTAGTAGTCTTAAAAACAAACAAACAAACAAACCCCACAGTAATGTTAGAGGTGCCCTATAGCTCCCTCTGGTCTCCAGAGACGACAAAGCATGAAGTTGCCTGCGAATACTTCAGTTACTCACAGTCCTTGCCGTGACGGTAAGCAGATGAGTGACTGATGAGGCCGTAGGAAACTAAGCACAGAGCTGAAATTGCCTGGCTTGCAAAAGCTGTCTCCGAATCAGCTTTTGCACTGCCTGTGTCAGCTCTGACCAGCAGTGACCACCAGACGTATCTTCTGCATCAGCGGTGGTGGCAGCTGCCAGGAAGATGCCCTGATACCCCCAAAATGGTGATCAGCACTAAACACAGATGCCCTGGCTCCCTTGTCCTGGGCTTGAGCTACCGTGCATCTGCCTCCGAGCCCATTTTCCCTGACCCCTGCTCTGCAGCATGGTTTTCCTCTTTCTGTTCTAAGAAAGTCCCAAATTGGGTTATTTACCAGAGCCACACATTGCTACCCACCCGGCCTTGTGAAACTGCAGAGATGAGTTGTTTGCCAAGCAACAAAAGAATTGGAATACATCGTTTCTCTTTATTTGGATTCTCTTTAAACCAAAATTTGCACCCAGACCCATCCGCATTGAAGAATACTTTCAAACAGAATTTATACACCCAGAGCTAATTCACTCCTAATTAAAAGGCAGGGTACCTGGCAGAGGGACAGAAGCTGAAATGCACGCTTTGAAACTCAGCGGGCCCCAGCACAAACACGCCAAAGGAAAGGAGGAAAGGCGGTGAGTTTCATACCAGCACTATCGCTGTAATGCAGCTCCTGGGGCAGGGATACCCGGGGCCAGCTCCTGCTCAGAGTGTGGCTCTGTAACAGAAAGGTGATTTGTGTGCCCACTACAGCACTTGTAGTGTTTCCCATTTAGAGGATTTCCCCTGTGCAAGGCTGTTTTTCTCCCTCTAGGGGTCACCAGCCCTTAAGGGGCTCCTGGGCTCACGGGAGCACCAGGAGAATGCTTGGTGGTTTACCCCACAAGGCTGGCCCCAGGAATAAGCAGCTAACAGAAGTGTGCAGAGATGGAAGACTCAGAGAGGAGCCTCTTCATTGCCAAGCAGCCAGCAACATCAAGGGGGAGGAAGATCTTAGCTTGGGGGCTTCTCCCTCCCGTTGGCTGGGGAGAAGGAAGGAGGTGGACGTAGAGAGGAGACGGCAACAGCACAGCCCATGCTGAGGGAGAGCTGCTTGCTGGAGGGATGCACAAACAGCCCCAGGTTCAGCCCCTAATGCAAGGAGCTTCCTCACCCAGTGGGGATGTCCTCAGCTGCCTTCTAAAGGCCCTGAGCTCGTGGCGTGTTGCCCCTGTCAGTCCCCTGGAAGGCAGCACTGAGCTTGCCCATGGGCAACTGGGGTGTGCTGGAGCAAGCAACGTGCCGGTGCCACCAGCACTGCTCCTGCCAGGAGCCCTGGAGGAACCGCTCTGGGTACTACCATCACTACTGGGCTAGACTATGTGGAGGAGAGGGTCTGTGGTGGGGTCGGTTGCTGATCTAGAACCCATGCCTCTTGAAGTACTGGGCCCGCCCGATCACGCTGTTGACGTAGGAGTTGTCTCTGCCGCAGGGGTCTTCGTCGTAGACCTGGATGTTGCTGATTCTTGCACGGTAGGCACAGATTCCCCCTGGGAAGAGTTAAGAAAGAGTTATCATGGGATTATAAATGAGAAATACAGATTTAAAAAGTAAAAATTCCTAGTATAAAGGGCAATGCATCTCATCAGACGTATACAACAGCTTGGGAAGTTGCTAATTGTGTGTTATTACTGAAAAGTGATTCATTTCGCAAAATGCTTATTTGTATGGTTAAGAAGCCCCTGATTCTCTCCAAATGTGGGTAGGAACAGCATGCTGGTCCCACAAAAGGCTGCAGTCTAAAAGGATTGGAGAGCAAGAAATAGCAAAGAGGGAATAAAACAGCATGCAGATAACACGGGTGATGAACAAACCTGTATCTCAAGCTTCCTTGACCCAACATATTAAAAAAAAAAAGTAAAAAAAAAAAGTAAGGGATGCTAAGATGCTATAAAATCTGCCAGGTTGATGATCTTTTCCCTTTAAAAGTGACACCAACAGATGCACAGCACTCCCATCATTCAGAGGCCTTCGCCTCATACAAACAGAAAGTGATCATCTGGTGTTGACTAACTGTTATTAGAATATTAGAAAGCTTATTGAAATATTCATATTTAAAAAAAAAAAAGGCAGTGTGGGAATGAAAGAGGAACCCAAGGGAATAATGTGTAGGATATCACACTGAACCTGTGTGAAAGTGCCTTGCAAATCACAAGTCAAAGCGCTGATGGTGAAAAGTAGAAGAGAGGTGTAGAAGAGAGATGTAGTAGAGAGAATCTCAGCTGTTAACGTCCTGATGGTGCCAGTAATGCAATGTCCCCTCTTTGTTTCCACATATAACCCCCAGCATGTCCCCACTGCTGCATGGGGCACGCCGTACCTCTCAGCTGCTGGTCCCAGGTCCAGGTAGGGTGCCTCGCCCGCATTTCATTGATCCCAAGCACCAGCATGGTCGAACACTGGTTGATGTGCTCCTCGCTGTCCCACGTCCCGTAAGGCTGGTGGTAGCGCCTGTCGATCTGGAAAAGTCAAGCAAGAAGATCGTTTTCCCTTTGAACACAACCACCGCTGTAGCTTCACCTCATTTTAACACTCCCAGTCCACGATTCACAGCAGAGACCCAACTTGTGATAAAACTGAGGTGATAAAACGCAGTCTGCAAAGGGAGTGTGTCCCAGTGTTGAACATGGGAGGCTCACTGGCCAAGGTGAAGCCCTGAGACGGACAGCCCAACATGTGGGCTCTTCTCTCTCGTCTTGTGGCCGTACCTGCATCAGGCCGAACCTCTGCCGGCCCTGGTCCCAGCCGTTGTCCAGCAGCAGGCCGGCACGGCTCTCCTGCGAGATGATGGCAGCGATGAGCGCCGGGTCCAGGCACAGGTTCCTGGCGACTCTCTTAATGGGGATCTCGTATTTCCTCAGGCGAATGATGTCCGCATCCGCCGTCCTCCTCACAGCAGCAATGCCTGCAGCTGGGGGAGAGGCAGCCTTACCCACCCGCCCTTACAAAAACGGGGTTTGGGGAGCGTGCTGATGCTGGTGCTACAGCTGGTGAACGGGTGTGTGGGGTGAAATGGGGTTTGCTGCAGCTCCCTCTACTTGCAGGCTGAGGATCCTGCCTGTGGAGTTTGCCCTCCCACTTCCCACCAAGTCTAGAGGCTTCACAGCACCTGCCACATTTTTGGGGCTGGGGAGAGGGCTTTCTTTCTCCCTCTTGGCTAATTGAGTAGCTGCAGCATGTTTAATTTGGTGGTGACGCCAGGCAGGCGCAGCATCCCTCCGCCAGGTACAGGTAGGCCGAGAGATCAAGCGGTGCGTGGTACCTACCGCAGTCCGGGGCTCTCACGGCTGTGCAGGAAATCGTGGGGGCTTGAAGAGCATTTATATCGCCATAGCAACTGTAACTCGCAGACGGAGCTGGAAAATGAGACGGAGGTGTTTGGAAACATGAGATCTCGGAGCAGTGTCGCACAGCTTGCTGCAGGTGAATGCAAGGCAAGCACGAGGCATTCATTCATCCAGGCCCGTAATCAAAGCGTATGTCATGGCCACTGCTCCCTGTCAGTGACATTACCGGTGACAGAGGGCAGGAATTTGTTCTTTCCTAGCTGAATAGGTTGAAGCAAATGAAACTGATGATGATTTACACAAATAGGCGTCCGCCCTGCTAAGTGTAAAAGCCGGTGTGGGGGAAGGAGCCACAGGCTCCACATTTAGCTCACAGGGCTCTTTCTGTTTAATGCCCCCTGATGCCCAGCACCCCTCAGATGATGGCTGGGAACATCTCCCATGTGTCCCCACAACCTCACGGGGAATTAGCTGAGGAGAGCGTGTGCCTCAGCCTGGGCAAATTACCCCAATTTCCTCAATAACTGAGGAATGAATAGGCTCCGGCAAACAGCCTGTGACATTTGGGAGACCTTTCTGAGTAGGCAGAGAGGTCAGACAAGGCTAGCTGTGACTCTGCAAGCAGTTGAGGGCAGGGTGCTTTCCCCAGCAAACCAAACCCGCGCCCAGGCTCACCGATCAGGGCCGAAAGGCCCAGCAAGAGCAGCGTGGGGACCATGGTGATGGCTCTCCTCCGCTGCCCCAGGACACCTGAAAACACAGAAGTTTGCAAAACGTGAAGAAGTTGATGGTGAAATTCAACAGCCCTGAAAAAAGCGTCTATGCCAAGAGCTCCCCCTGCTCCTCCCCAGCCCTGGGCTCTCATGGCAGCTGCTGGCTTCAGGGGATGGTGCTGGCAGGACAAGCGGGTGATGGAGCCCTGTCTGCTTCTTATTTCCTAAATATCTGGGAGTTTTTGGAGGGACGGCTCCTCCATCTCATGTGCCACCTTGCTGTCACCATCACATTAAGAAGGAAGCACCAAACCAGGGCCAGCAGGGACTTTTTTAGCCCATTGCTTGCTCTCATGGCCCCTCTTGAACACCCACAGCATGTCTACAATGAGGAGGCTCAGTACATTTGCTTTAAATCTACAGGTGTTTGACACCCAGTGTACTACAGAGTGCATAGATCTCTCTGTTCAAAAGGCAACATGGCTTTGGAAAGCCTTTGGGAAAAACATGTTGCCAAAAATCAAGCAATACAGCCCTCATTTTGCTGCTGAGAGCATGCAGAGCAGTTCCAAGGTTTTGCTGTTAAAATAATACTTCTGCATTAATTCCTGTGTGTGACAACAGCAGATAATCACTTTAGTAATGAATGCCTCTTGTGTTTATTAATAAAATTCCAAAATATCATCAGATAATAGCTATTGGCTGAAAAAAAAACACGTTGATTGCACTTGCCTTGCTGGTGAGGGCATTTAACTGAGCAGGTTTTAGAGCTTACAAATGCCTTTTTTTTTTTTCCCCCCCCCCAAGAATATTTCAAGTACAAAACAATGCCATGAGCCTTGCAGGCAGTCATCCTGCAATGCTATTAACACCTGAAAATGCCTTATTGATTTTAGTAATGCCTGACCTTTTCTTCAGTCTAATAGGTATTTCCACTGTAAAGCAGACTGCATGGATGCCCAAACTCAAATAGGCCACCAATGTCATCAGAAAGACTCCCTTGCCCTGAGAGATCATTCAGTCCAGCAAATGCCCACTACCAGAGCTGGGTACGTGCTCAGCAGCTCACTTTGAGTCCTAACACTGAGTATTTGCAAGCCTGGATCCCTGCAGCCTGACCCAATACCTCTTAATTCAATGGCAAATCCATACCTAATGCCGCAGTTTGTAGCTGTTTCTATAAACAGAAAATTGTCACATTATAAGGTTTTAAGGCATCAGCCTTTTTTTAGTCCCATCACAAAAATCACCACAAGCCTTAAGCAGAAACAGGGAAACAATTACAAAATTAACAGCATGCTAAATCAAAGCCAAAATCAAGGCTTCTGCATCCACACAGATATTCTCCGACTGGATTCAGACTCACCTGTCTTCAATCAGCCTTCCTCTGAGGCAGGTCACTTGATGACTTTTATATATATGGGTATGAAAAGGTACCCACCCTCTGGGTTTTGGAATGTTAATTCCTGTTTAGGTGTGATGACATTTGTTATAAAGTGTAACAGGTAATATATAATAAGAGCTTTGAACTCTTATGTTTTCTTTCATCCAAAGATTTGCACAAGCAGTGGTTAGTAAGACTCAGGACAATTCTGTGAAAGGAAATAAATACTGTTTTTCCTCCATCAATGACTACACTGATGCTCCATAAATGACTTACAGAAAGCATTGCAGTGAATCAGTGGCAGAGGCCAGGCAAAATTCAGATCCCTGCCTGGTGCTCTCCTTCCTTTACATCCCAGATCAGTCTGGGCACAGTTCTGGAAGGGTTTTTGTCTTGTCTCCCCAAGGAGTTTAGATTGGCAAGATTTTAATTGAATATCAAACTTTCACATGATTTCCAAAAAGGGATGCTGCTGCTGAGGCAAGGAGGAAGGGTACTGATATCTCAGCAGTTGAAGTCAGTGGGGGCTTGCAGAGGGTTTGGGACAGATTTGCACCATGTGGCTGAGACACTTTTTGTACGTGTAAGTTACTAAAACAAATTAGGGGACTGAAAGATTGTCTGGGAGGCCAGTGGCCTCTAAGCCTGTCTCCCTCCCCACGTTTTTCTCTTCACCAGACTCTGCCTAGCATGGGTGTAGGCTAGAAACGTAAGAGTTCCTTCAAATAGCTTTCTTTTTGTTATTTAATAAATGAAAAATCAATGTATTTCTCTCTCTCTCTTTTTTTTTTTTTTTTTTTTCCCTCTCTCCTTTGTGCTTTAGACCTGCTGAGTACGAAGCCCTATTCCGGACAGATACACATTTCTAAGTTCAAAACAAGTGAGGGTTATTAGTTGTTAAAGAACGGGTGATGATCAAGTGGGCCTTGCCACCTTAAAATCCCTGAATACAGCTATCAAGGACTTAGACCTCGCATTAGTAAGAAGGAGGGAAGCTCCACGGGAGAATCTGGCCCTGTTGTTACACGAGGGTTGGGTTGTTAGTTCAGGTGCCTGAAATCACTCATTTATTTGGGCGAAAACATTGAAATAATAGAAAGCTTTCCAAAGACCACAAAATGGCTAGGCATTCATTATTCATCTGCAAACCTGATGTTGTGTTACGGTGCCTTAGACTAGAAGAAATCTTAATTCTTTTACTACAGTGTAAGATTTTAAATAATTCAAGGTAACATTTGACATAAGGTACTAATCTATGTGGTATCTTTGGAAATAACAGGTAGAAAATAGAGCCATCACATGTACAATGTGGCTGCAAAGATTTCCAAAGCAAACAGTGACCAAAGAAATGCTGGAAGAGAGGAAAGACAGAAGAAACAAACTGGGAAGAGGCCAGAGTGCACAGCTTGATGGCTACAAAATCAGTAGATACATTCATTTGCCTCCTATAGAACAAGGTGATCTGTATTGGAAAGAGATGTATCCTCTCTAATAGATGGAAATATTTGGGTGTTGACACCCAGGAACCTTTTATAAAGATGGTATCATATTAGTGGTAATAAACCAGTCTTCCTCTGTCACTGAACCTGCAATCAAGTTGATGATTTTGGACTTTTTTTGTTTGAAAGTAGCCTCTGATCGTAGGTAAGATTTCTTTCCTAATGGGTCTGTCATTCATTAATGGTCCTTAAGAGAGTTTTCAGTTTAAATACCGATTCTCTTTGTTATGTATGTTCTCTCTCATTTAGTGCCCACAGAAAGATTTTCTGTGCAATTCCCAGTACTGTCACATGAATTCTTAATGCTCGCTCTGCGTTGTGTTGTTGTTTATTTACTTCTTCAATTGTGGCTGCTATTTTTAAAATACAATTATTTTTATCTGTGCTGCTGTATGCTGTCAGATCCCTGTGGCAGACTCCTTGTAGTCACACAATTCCAGCACGAGGCCAAATAAGGGGGCATTTTCTCAGCAGCATTATGAATGAGATTTTTTTTTTGGTGCTAAACACTTCCCTATCTACACAAAATTTGCCGATTGCCATCTCTTCGACTGAATGCAGAGAGCAGGCAGCCTTTGTGGAAACAAGGTCATGCTCACGTAGCTGAACGGGGCAGGGCTCTGAGCCAGCTTGTCCAGGGCACCGCCATGCGAAGGGACCTGCAGGTCCCTCAGACACCAAGATTTCTGGTCTGCTCCGTGTAAACCCAGAGCAGCAGATCCAGGTGAACCATTTAATGAGAGCGAGCCGCACCTGCCACCAGGATTTTTCATGTTTGTGCTAGATTTAATTTGGAAAATGATGTCAAGCACCAGATAAAATCTGCCTCCAACCAACAGGAGAGACCACGTGAGCTACCGATTTTATTTTTTCCTCATTTAATCGAGGTGTAATCAAAACGCAGTATCATTTTGAACAGCATTACGTACTGCATATCGTTCTCTGCCAGGCTGAGGGCTGTATCGTCATGTTTGGTGGGATGGTGAGAAAAAAAAAAGCACCTAAAAGCACCTGGAACGACATCCATGCTAATTACCGCCTCTTTTTGTGCGTTTCAGCTCCGGTTTCCTAATATCTCCTGGCAGGTGCGTTTCTCAGGCTATCCCTTTTGTCTGGGATGTAATTACAGGTAACACCAGGTATTCACAGACCTTACGACTACTTTATGGGGAACCTGCCCATGCCCACTGACGCATGTTGGATGCCTCGCACTAACTGGCCAGTTAAAGATGCATCTGTGGCCTCCCCTCACGGGCTTGTTTTAGACCCACGCCTTTCGTCTCAGGCAAATCCTCTAGAGCTGTCTCTCCCACTGTTTAAAGAGACACGGACAAGTTAATAATAGAGTTTCTTTTCTGCATCTAATATACCTTTGAGTAACAACAGCAAAAGTGAAGTGAGATGGGCTTCACGTTTGTGAGGCATGAGGCTCTTGGTTTTCACTGTGCTCTGAGCTGAGCAGCTGCTGAGGGCTGGGCTCCTCCCTTATCTTGCCATACAGAAGAACAGGGTTTGGCATTGAAACATCCCACTCTGCACAAAGCCTCTCTCCAGCCATCGTGTGAGAAAACTAAGACCAGAAGTATTTATGAAAAGAAGAAAAAAAGTGTTTTTTTTTTTTTTTTTTTTCTCTATAACGAGACTTTGAATTTTATCACAGGGAAGACAACCTAGCAAAGAGCTCACTGGACTGGATCTTAGGAGACTTCAGTTCATATCCCAGCTTAGACATAGAAATATCACCCAAAAGAAGTCATTTAGAGTTCAAGCCATGAGAGGGTGTGAGCTCATGAAGCATCTGTCATGCTCCAAAGCTGTGTTCCAGGTAGGCCACTGAGATGCACTTTTGCTCCTGTGCAAGCCTCAAGTGGCCCAGAGCAGCGTGGTCCTTACCTCCTAAGGTCTGCGCTCTGCTCTTTGTGTCCCGACATCAAAATCCCTGTGTGGATGGGAGTCTGCAGCCCGCACTCATGCATTTACTCACAAAAATAGGCTGTGGAGCCTACTCTGTTTACACCAGCCACGGCAGCAGCAAGACCAATCTTGGTTGGAAGACACCCTCGTGAAGGCAGAAACCCCCACTCAACTCCCTTTTGGGTAAAGCACTTACACACCTCACCAGGACCAGGTGCATCTGAGAGAAAACTGACAAACCTACTCCCAAAATATGGATTTCAGGAAGCGGCTGAAACGAGGTAGTGGAGCACCTAGTTCTTGGTGTGCCCAGGTCCTCCTCCAGCAAAGCTAATCTTGTTTCAGTCTCCCATGTATAAAATGAGGATAGTACATTAGTGACTCACAGGGATGGCGAAGTAACATCTCTGAATAATTAACTTCACCCATTAATCATGATAACTATTACGAGCTTTTCTGTGTGCCTGGAATTCATGATACAAAGCACCGAGGTCTGTCAACACTTGGGAAACCAAACAGGAAGCACTTTCTGACATTTTTTTCTAGGGCAGCACACTTACAAGATGAAATAATTAGCGAGGAGGAAGGACAGGACAGGAATTAATTTGTTTTTATATGCTGTACTCACCTGGTTTTCATACAATGTCATCCCGGGAAAAGCCAACGTTTACTGAAGATCGCGTGGTTTGTGCAGAAGATAAGGTAATTAGGTCCAAACATATTTAAAAGGAGTCTGATGTTGAAATCGTACCGCGGGGCAGATGATGTTTGAACAGGCTGTGCTCAAGAAACGCAAAGCACAAGGAGACAGGCTCACTGCTGAGCTGACACAGTTATGTGGCTCCTGCAGCAGAGGTGCTTTATTTCAGGTAGCTCAACCCCTGGTTGTAACAGGCAGTCGGAAAATCATAGCCTTAGAGCACGCATTGCGCGGGACCTCTAAACGCAAGATTTCTTAACAAAAAGCATCAAGCATCTGCCAGCATTATGTGCACTTGAAATTAACTCACCAAATTTGAGCTTTTTATTTTGTGACGGTTTTGTACTGCTTTAGCCAGTTTGCTGTGTTAGCTTACATCAATGGAAGGGGTATGAGCGTACGTCTCCTTTCACACATCTGATACAGCACAGGATTCTCCAGGGGATGGATAAAAAGGAGGGTCTGGGAGACTGGAACATCCAAAAGCACCTCCGTCGTATTTGTGAGACTTAACTCTGACAGCTCCCCAAGAACAAAGGAGCAGGCTAGACCTTCAGAGCAACAAATTGCTCTGACGTGGAAGAACTATTTACCTACTTATCTATCTATCCTTTAAAAGAAGGATGAAGAGCAACACCCAGTAACATCAAATATGCTCCAATTCTGATTCCCAGAGGCTTTTAAACTCGGGAGGGTATCCCTGACCCTCTAGTTCTAAAAAGATGGATCAGCCCCCTACTGACAGAAGATCCCTTCGAGAAAAGCAGAGTACAGGTATTGAGCATGCAACGAGTCCAGAAGCCAGGTTATTTTTGCATCAAATTGATGTGTGCACACGTACGTGTAGGCGTGTGTGTGTGTAAGGGAGGAAAATGAGTGTCAACATTCTGGTTGCTCAAAACCCGAATTTCCTACAGAAATTTCTATAGAAAAGCGTTCCTTTCAGAACTTCCAGGAGGGAAATAGCACGATGTGGGTTACTTGGAACACAGAACTGGGAGGCATCAACTCATCACCAGTCTGCCTTCCTCAACGGCCTTTATTACAATCACAGGGGGCCCAACCTACAACAGGGGTCTGAGAGCAGCTGCTAATTTGTTCCCTGCTCCAGAGCTTGCATCTCATTCAACCCCTTTCAAGGACTGAACTTCCCAAATCCCAAAGCTCCATTTAATCTTTGGGTGGATTCCTCACTCAGAACATCCCAAGCACAACATGGGCTCAGTGGAGGATCAGCACACGGACAAGCTTGCATCCCCTGGCACGCAGAGCTGAGCAGCACCGGCCTTGTTCAGCTGTTATTTTCCCCAAGCATTAATGATTACTTCACGGAAGCATCAAGCACTAATCACTGCTAATGTTACATGCTGGGCTCATGCTTAAGCCCCATAACTCCAAGAGCTGCATGTGAACATTTTCTCATCCCCTCATTGCGTAAGACCCTTCCACGGCTGACACGTGCCAGGCCAGGCCCCATTTTGTGATTAGCCCGGGTTCAGGAGTCCCAGTTAGTCACGGCCTCACACACACCATCCTGCAGCCGTAAGCAACTGGTGACACGCAACCCCTGCCTTTTCTAGCTATCGCGTGTCCTCAACATCTTTTTTTGTCACCTTTATTGCCACTACATCACTGTTGACAAAGCCAAGCTTCACAACTTTCAAGTTTGTACAGCTGACATCTCGTTAAATTAATGTTCTTTGTATTGCTTCCTCTTCTAGCTCGCTGAAGGACATACTATCATGGACATTTCACTATTTAATCTGTACCTCTGTACTGCTTGAGCTTCACCTCACGAGAAAAAAAATTGTTCCTCAATACTCAAACTAAAAGAATTTTCCACATTTTAACGAATCTCTACATTCCACCCAAAACGAGATTAATAGACGTGGACTGTTCATATCAAAGCAGTATGCGGATCAGGAGCAGAAAACCCACCAAAAGGACCATTCGGTGACAGTTTAAATCTTCATTTAGGACAGAAAATGCAGAAAGCAGATGTAAAAGTACAGATCTGGAGCAGGCAGATCCATCTGAGGCTACTACTTCAAAAAAAAAAAACTAGTTAGCATACACCCCCCTTTATCCAAGTCGCATGTTCCTGTGGACCCCTTGTATCAGCCCCAGAACATGTGTGGCCCTACCAAAAGCCAGATGAAGGAACAGGTCGAATTGAAGATTAACCTAGAAAAAAAAAATCAACTTAAACTGCCATGAAACCACTGCCTCCGATTAGCATTTACACTGAGTTTGTAATGGGACTGTTGACACGTGGAACCGAGCAACCTTTAACACCACAATATGTCAGAAACCTAACGAGCTACTGCCTAAATGCATTTCCAGAGAGGCTGCAACAATTTAAAACACGATTTAATATTCCCACAGCCTAGACAATGTAATTAGTGCTCGGAGATAAGTCCTGCTAATGCACTCCTAGCAAGACTGTTGGAATATGAATTACCTAAATTTAATTCCACGCAACCAGATGCAAAAAGAACACTTGTTCATTCAGAGTTTCTGCACTGAAAATGAGATCAACTTGAAGCAAGTATGCTTCCAGCACACTACCACGTGGCTGCATACATCTCAAGCTGATTGCCTTCTCAGTGATGCCTTAGACAGAGCTATAGTTTGTTAGAAATCTAGAAAGAGCACATGCAACTTTCTGACAGGCCCTTATTAAAAGAGAATGACCCACAGCACCTAGATGACTTTATTTGAAAGGATGCAAAAGTCAACGTTAGAATTAAAATAATTTTATTTCAATGTACATGAACTGAAATAAAATAGAATCATTGTTATTTTTAAACTTAGAGTAATATTGCTGGGCTGGCCCAATCACAAGCACTCTCCACTACAAGGCAGCACGAGTAACTAGACCCAGTTCATCATTTTCTGGGCCAACTGAATTCCAAGTACTACTGTCAAAGGGTCCTCCAGCACACAGCAAACTCTGTTTTTGAGAACTAAGACAAGCCATCGACACTTTGCCTAGGCAGAAGCTTTAAGTTGTGTTCCAAGGAAGATCTCCCTTGAAAATCCTGTCCATTACTGAAGAAACGGTACACAGCATGCTGCGCTATATCTAACAGATCAAGGCCTCTCCCGAACGCTTTTCTCTAGCCTACCCTCCTGTACAAAGCACCCGCTGTAAAATTCACACATTCAAAACCACAGAATCATACAAACCTGCAAACAAGGCTGGTTTCAATATGTTTGTTGCTATGTGCTATTGCCCGCTGTGTCAGCTTCCACATGCAGCGTACATAGATGGCAAAAGGGCATTTCTCTTGACCACCACTTTCAGAAGTTATGTCTGTTTTTACAGCTTATAGTGCAATACGATTAAGTTACTCAATGTTGTGATATGGCACCATAAGGTAAGCAATCTTCGTTAAAATGCACAATTCCTGGTACTAATAATTTGCAGTGCTTTTACCAATAACAATAAGATTAAAGAGAACTGGAAAAGGAACTGATAGAGAAAATTCTTAGAAGTGTCTGTTGTTCCTTTAATGAAGAAAATAAAAAAAAGGGAATTGTCAGATTCAAGGAAAATGATGGGGAATAGTTCTTCATACAACACACTTAAGTTGTGGACTCCTTGCCATGTGAGGTGGATGCTAAGAAGATGCAATGAGGACTTCAAAAGATTTCTTTTTATCCAGCAAATGCTTTCAGATATGGAGTTCCCCAAGCCACAGACTGCTCAAAGTATGTTTTGGGGAAGCACCGCTATCTGCTCACCCTTTTTTTCCTCCCCTCTCTTCCTTGTGCATCTGCTTTTGGCCACTGAGCCTGGATATTAGGCCGGATGGACCTTTGATCTGTCTTGGTACAGTTTGTTCTAAGTTACTTCAAAACGCTTCATAGATGTACTCTCAGACAAAGATGTACTCTTCATCATTTGCAACATATTATTTAGATAGGACTTAGATTGTTGAATTACAAATGACCTCCAAAAGAGGAAAAAAAATATTTAAGCTTTCTCCTGATATGACCCAGTTGTATAAAACTGTATAGAAAAGTGAGCGTTATGTGCAGATGTAGTGAAAAAGCAATAAGCTTTATAAAAAACATTCTTAAAAATGTACCAAGCATAAACAAAAGATGATTTACAAACACGTTTAACTATTTTAGTCATCATCAGAATCTGAATCATATTTCTTCCCTCTGATGGTCTTCTTCTCCAACTTTGTGAAGCTTGTTCCAAATTTCTTTTGGTTTTGAAAAGGTGGCTCCATCAAGTTTCCACTAGAGGAAAAGAGTAAGAGGTGTTGATTAAAGCCTTATTTTTGCAGACAGTAAGCAGCATCTCTAATTACTTTTTTCCTCAAAAAAAAAGAAAACCCACAAAACACTAAGAAAATACAAGCCTTACTCCCTAAAGTGACCCTAAAAAGCACTGTGGGATGACTAGCATAGCGCTTTCTGGGCAAAAGGGCCTGGACAACAACAGCTAAGACAGGAATGTGAGTGTATACAGCATTTGTGATCAGAGCTCCGCAGGAAAAAAATCTGAAAGGGCTTTTTGTAGCAAACTGATGGCTCTAAGGACAGCCATTCATCTTATTAAACAGTAAACAGGGAATTACACAGAGGCTTTTTACACCAAAGGAAGAGACAAGAAGTACAAAAGAAAATAAACCAGGAAGAGACTGTGGAATAGAAACAAGAGTCAAAAATGGGTTTTGTAGCACCAGAAGACACTTTGTTCCACCTCTACCTAGGCCAGATATGGTAGTGTCCTTATCTGACACCATGCACAGCTGGTGGGGCATGGAGGGACCCACACCTTGTTCCCCACGTTCACATAAAGCTGGAGGTCCCACATGTCCTACAGCAGGGTGTGCAAGAGAAGCATCCCCCTCCTTGCTTAAGGTGTACGTGCTTTTAACTCACATTAGCTGTGAGGGGCTTGCATCTCAATGTCAGAGTGAGCAATTAGAACCTCCTGGAATTAGCTACAGAAGGGTGGTGGGAAATTGCTTATTACCACTTTGTAAATAACATGTTACTGATATTGATCCTAAATACACAGTTCAATGACTGCTAGTTAATTACATATCAGTAATTAGCCAATACACCACTTGAATCCTGATTTTGCTGAGATGATGTGACCTGAGCAGTTCTGAACAGGTTTTTTTTCCCCCTCCTAAATACAACGTATCCTTTCACCATCTGCTGTTCCACAGACTGAAGGAAACAAAAACAACCAAAAAAGAAAAGAACAACAAAAATTGTTTCTAGTCTGCTAGGAGAAACTCCAGGGAATACGTAAATGGATGTGTCCAAGAATGATCAAAATTTAGCAAATTCAGTGCAGCTTAGTTCAATTTCACTGAATTATTTCTCCCATAAAGGGTGTTGCTGTCTAGAATAAATATCCAGACTGCCTTTGATTCCGTTGTGTTTGCTTCATACTGAACTGCTAAGTGGAATTACAACTTGTTTTGAATTATAATTTCCGCTTCACTCATCAGAAGTTCAACAGCTAATTAGGTCTTTTCCTTTAAGATCTAACAATGCCTCTTGTCAAACTTTGGGAAATAGCCATTGAAATGAACTATATAAGTATATAAACTTATATACTTCATAGACAAATAAAATAGAATAAAATATTAATAAAAAAGACACTCAAAAAAAAGAAGACTAACCTAAAAAAAGATACAGATTTTAACATGACTGGAAAGCAAAGCAGAAGGTACTGTATCATTTACAGAAAAATTAGGCTATTGTGGCTTTTAGCTGCCTTGTGTACCAAAGTCCTAAATGCAGGGCAGTTACTGATGATTATCTTATACTGCCAAACAATTTGCACTTCTTTATACCGTCCATTGAAAAAAAAGTCATATGCAATATGGATTAAGGTAGCCTCTTAAGTACAACCTACAGTTTTCACTTAAGCGGATTAAAATGCTCAAGCTTGACTGTATTGCAAGCGTGACATCTAAGCTGTTGTAGGAAGGATTACATTAGACACGTGGCTGGGCCAGGCTTTATCAAAGCAGGGTTGCTACCCTGTAGCAGCAAACAGCAGGAGCTGTGTTTGTTTTTTATTCCTGTACAAAAATGATGTTATAAAGATAATAACATCTCAGTATGTTGCCAAAGAGGTGCTCTTTTCTTTCCCTTGCTAAAGTACACAGAAGAAATAACTGGACTGAACTCACTTGTGTTTTAAAGCATACAAGATATCAAAGTTACAAACTCTCAGATTCATCTGTCTGCAAGGACATTTCTCCTTGCACTGTATCTGAAAATAAACCAATCACAAAACAATTACCTGTAATTAATTATGTCTGCACAGCCTAGTCTCCACTCCAAGGTCTCTGTAGTGAAGTCATCCGTGTTACCGAGATCAGTGAAGCCAACAACATAGTCTTGCGATTTTCCATCTTTTATTAGTGCTAGAGTGGGGATTACTTTGATGCGCAGTCTCTCGCATAAGAAAGGAGATTTTTCTGCATTTAGTTTCAAGAATTTTGTCTCAACATGCTTTTTTGCCAATACGGTCAAATGCTTGTCCATTATCTGACACCTGTCAAAAAAACAAAACATATAAAATGTTTGTTAGACTCAAGCTGAAGAACACGTGCATTACAGAAAGTTAAAGAAGAACCATAAAGAGCTATTTCTATCACGTTACTTCCTCAGATATGACCTATGCAATTAAAAATTTAGTCCTGAGAGAAGCTGTGTTTTAAAGGTAGCCAGATTTAACAACTAATAGAATAATGCCCTGGAGCACCTTTAACGCACAATTACACCATGCATTTCTCTTGTTTCTTCCTAATTACACCACCCATGCACCTGACAGCTTCCCTCATTTCTTGAGGCCTCCATTTATTGATGGAATTTCCCTGACTTCTATTCTTCCTGCTTCAGCTCCACTGACTGTGAGCTTATAAAGCTTCTCTGCAACAGATTTCACATCTTCATAAAAGTACTCTGCACACGTTACAGAGCTTTGTTTTTTTAGTCTCTGCCTCCACAGCTGAGATGCAGTAACTTGCTGCATAGAAGAAATTATTTTCAGAGTGTTTCAATAGTGCCATAAGCAAGTATTTCACTTTTCTGTTAAAATGTGGTAAGAATGAACATACAATAATTGTTTCTCAGTTAAGGGGCAGTAACATGAGCTGCTCAAAATAATTGTCAGATGGAAGACATTTGTAGGCTTGTCATCTTTGAGTGGTGAGGCTCAGCTGCACAAACTCTGTGATGTGGCTGTCCTTTAACTAGAAGGGAGGCTGAATAGATCAGAAAGCTGGAATGGGCAAGGATGAAAGCAACTTGATACTGTAGTTGGAAAACCTGACACACCAGCTTCAAGCTGGTTGTCACCACTACACATTTCACAAAGTACTTTCTCTAAAGTTCCTTCTCCTGTCTGAGTCTTCATTGGTACAGAAAAACCAAATACCCCAAACATGTTCTGAACTAATTATTTGCACAGATATTCTTTCAACTTTGAGTAAAAGCTAGCTGAATACAGCTGCTCCAGATATTTTGAATTGTAGAATGGTTTTGGTTGGAAGACCATCTAATTCCATCCCCCTGCTATGGGCAGCGACACCTCCCACCAGACCAGGCTGCCCAAAGCCCCATCCAGCCTGGCCTTGAGCACCTCCAGGGATGGGGCATCCACAGCTTCTCTGGGCAGCCTGTGCCAGGGACTCAACACCCTCACAATAAAGAATTTCTAATTTCTAGTCTAAACTTATCCTCCTTCAATTAAAACTATTTCTCCTTGCCCTATCTCTGAATGCCCTGACACAGAGTCCCTTCCCAGCTTCTCTGTAGGCCCCCTTTAGGTACTGGATGGCCACTGTAAGGTCTCCCTGGAACCTTCTCTTCTCCAAGCAGAACAACCCCAACTCCCTCAGCCTGTCTTCATTCCTAACAGAGCTGCTCCAGCCCTCTGATCATCCTCATGGCCCTTCTCTGGGCCCACTCCAACAGTTCTATGTCCTTCTTACATCGAGGGCCCCAGAGCTGAATGCAGCATTCCAGGTGGGGTCTCACAAGAAAGCTCTTTCAAAAATAAACTCTCTACTTGTAAGAGTCAAACATTTAACTTAGAAAACACAAGACATATGCCTCAGTGCATAATCTGGATTTGACCTCTTCCGATTTCTCACATTGAAGCTGTTTCAGTTTATGTTCCATAAATGAGAGAAAACATAACTTGGGGGAAAAAAATAGGACAACCGGCTCCTCCTTCAACAAACAGCTCTATTTTGCAATTGCTTTTTAAACAGAAGACATTGAGATAAACCCACCCAGAAATAGCCTACAACCCAGAACTTCTGAAATTCTTCCAAGGAAGTGGGAGATCTTATTTTAGGTTCCTATTTCGAGTCAGGACATAGATCTAGGTCCCTCACACCCTAAAGAAGTGACAATCACAAAGGTACAGGCCCAAAGGGAAAACCTCTACAACTGGTATCCACAAATCCTTTCAAAGTCAAAACGTTGAATTTTGAAAATGCTTAGACAGGATTTCGTTTACGTTTTGGTTTTTGGTTGCCAGAACTGCCCAGAATATCTCCATCTGGAATAACCAAAGTGATCTTTTTGAAGTTGCTATGGTCACTAAATTTAGAGCTGGCTCCCTCCAGCTAAATCAATAATGAACCACAGCAATCTCTTAAATGCTGCCAGAGAAGTTACACATTTGTGTTCTAATCAACTATGCAAGAGGGGATTAATCCTTGTCAAATCATGTCAACTTTAGTTGGAATCAAAAGCTTTCAGAGGGAAGAAGGTATTGGAAGAAAAAAAAAGGAATTTGCATGCTTCTAAGAATCTGTATTTACTTATGAGATTTTAAAAGAGCTTTTTTTTTGTATACATCTATAAGCAAAAGGTTGCTTGAACATAGCTTATTTACCATACCTGAAAGTTGTATCTCTATAGAAGTGGCAAACCACATTTTTACTTTCTTTGACTTCTTGGAAAAAGTCTCTCTCACTTGGGATTTCTCTGTACTCCCCATGTCCTTTTGAAAGCCACTCCTTATGGAAAAGGAAAGGAAGTTAATTAGTATTTAGTTAGTCCTGCAGCTGTCATGTAATCTCTACAGCTTTTAAGGAAAAAAAAAAAGGAGGGGGCTTCAGTAAAAACCCATTTCATACAGTAATAGTTAGAAACAAATTAGGCAAAGGTCTCTAGGCCAGATAACGCTTCTAAATTGCCTCCTTCTCAACAGCAGGCAGGTAGCTGAGCACCTTCTTGTTTGCAAATACAAGTCTTGTACAGAGTTGCTCACAAATCTGCAGTGCAGCTTCCCCATAAGATTAGACTAGTTCAAAGAACACTGAAAACAAAGTTGTCAGAATTAGAGAACTGTAAATCTACTCTAAAGCATTTTTGCACCCTAGAAGAACTTGTCTAAAACTGACTCAAGCTATAACAGGTTATTTCTTTTGATCTTTCTACAAAAAAAAATAGGAAGAAATAAACCTGCACAAACATGATGTTTATCTACTGAATATAGACTGAACATGTCTTACTAAGAGACAGGCTTCCAAAAAAAACCTGACAACACAGGTGTGCATACCCATTACTCACAAAGTGAAGGGAGAAACAGAAATCCACGAGCTAACATTTACAGGCAATTTCAAACCTGCTTGACTAAATGTGAAAATACAGTCTGGGAAAAGATGATCTCCTAGATTTTCAAGACATGCAGTTAAGAAAAAAAAAACAAGAACAGCTTCTGATACAGAAAATTATACTGTATTAAAACACATATAGACTAAGCTAAATGATTAAGAGAGAAGCATGACAAAAACATGACATTTCAGCTTTCAGTGCAAAAAAAAATTACCATTCTTGATCTTGCAGTTGTGTGAGTTAAAAAAAAAAAGGGGGGGGTGTTGGAGCTCCTAGCAAATCAAAGACTTCCCGTAGACTAAATTACAGCAGAACAAAGGATTTCCTGAATATTTTAACATGAATGTTGGAAGAAATTACATGAATAAGTTATAATGATGCAAATCACACACTGACTTATGCTTCAACAGCAGATAAGTTAATTTTCCTGCACATTCTTATTCCAGAAGAATGTGGGCCATCTTACTCCTTTTACAGAGCAGTATCCTACTTTAAATTTGAAAATGCATGAGAACAATGAGGTGAGATCAAGTACCATGAAACATTTTTACAGGAGAACTAACATGTTAACATCTAGAGCATGTCAAAGTATTACAACTTTTGAGAAAGGACAACACTGGAGTCGAATACAAACTGCACTTCTGAAGACACGCAAGCAGTGTGACACCTTCTCTACTTCCATCTTTAGAGAATCAAAGCAACTAACTCTGCCTCTCCTGCAGCATCCCAACCACACAACATTTTACTGCACTTCCCATTTGAAAGCATGCTATTAGCCACCACAGGCAAAACATCTCCTTTCAACCCAGTCACCTCCCCCTTGTCCCTATTTCTCTGTTTAGGTTTGCATGAAGTTAAGTAACCTATGGCTTCCCTATTTAGAATTTAGGCCTCACACCATATGTTACCAAAACTTTCTTTTCAGGAACACCATCTATGCTCAAGGAGACTTTTGGGGGAGTATGAGGACTACAATTTAGCCAGATATACCAGGGACCAAAGCAGAATTCCTTTTCTGCAAGAAAAAATAAGCAGTCATACACAGCCAACATTTCATTGGAGTAGAAGAAGTGGGACAAAATTCCACCCTAGAACAAGAAGAGACCCTGAATCTTTCTTCTGCAAAATACCTTAGAAATGAACAGGCACCATTTACATGCCTTAACTAAGATTCTCCAGGATTCATATACCAAAACGGCTTACAATTAGGTTGTCTGTGAGGCTTATGACTTCAGATGACAACACTAAGTGAATAACAACACACTGAAATCTCTGTACTATACTCCTTGTCCTGTCCTTATCATAAGATAATCACAGAGCTTCCTTTCTCCTGTTAAAGACCACAAAGCAAGCACACAGGAACAGAGATCTGCTTTTCGGATTTGTTTAAAATTAACAAAGTACAGAAAGGTGAAGAAAGAAGAAAACACTTAGGTCATGCGTACAGTTCCCCTAGGATTTCCAAAAACTATTACATTTTGCACTTCAGGAGTCTGTATTAGCACAAGACTTACCTGTTTCTGCTGTTTAGCCTTTTTCAGTGCTTCAAGCCTCCTTTGCTTAAGGCGTTCCAACTCATCTTCATCCATTTGGTCCAGCTTCTGCATTTCCGCATCCAGATGTTCTTCTACTACCTTGGTGGTCTGAAGTATTTCATTCTCCAGAACTTTCTGGAGAATTTCAACAGACGTATCAGCAGCCATCTTTAAGTGTAAAGAGATCCCTTCAGATCTGCGAAAAGAGCAATACACAGAATTTACATGTAAAGAATTTTTACATAATGCAGTTGACATTGTACAGAAATAAAAGGCAATGCTGTTTAAAAACTGCAGCACATGGATATGTTCCTTATCAAAACCCGCTCCGGGGAACATCTGCACAATGAACACAGGTAGCAAGAAGGGCTCCAGTCAAGCCCTATTCTTTCCATCCCAGGGCCAGATACTGACAGTGCACAGGAACCTGAAATTACTAATCAATATAATGAAGTAAAATTAACAAGTTCCAAAGGAACAGACATCCTGAGCCACATCCGCATACCTTTAATTAGCACTTGGGAAAATAGAAGATGCAGTCCTTCTGACTCTATCCTTCTGGGAGAAAGGGATATCTCAGAATAAGCCTAAGCAGTGTTCAGCATGTGTTTTCAACAGTTTAAATGCATTAAGTACCTGATGTGTATTAACATATTTGAATCTGAATTAATGCTCCTCGCTCTTTAGCTAAAAGGAAGGGCACTCAACAGCAATCGCCTTAGGCAAACACGCTGCTTTCAATTAATACAAGAAAACTGCAATTGCAAGCACCACCTTATGGCAGCCAGGAAAAAGATTTAAAAAACCCCAAAAGCCACTATCTTAATTGCTTTGTGAAGACACGCAGCTAAAATCATTTCCTCTAAAACTCCCCCTCTCCAAATGCTTCAAAAGGCAGAAAATATCGAGACTAGAGGTGCTCGGAGAGCTAGGAGAACAAAATAGATAGTTCTCCTGAATAGTTTTTTATATTACATTACAAAAAAATGTCACTGTAACGAGTGACAGCTTTAAAATGGAAACACATAGACAGTGCACAACTGACCCTAATCAGATTCTTTAGCTGCTGGCCACTGGTTTGATGCACCAGATCTGGGTTCTAGAATACTCTCAGCAACATTTTAAAATAGCCAAAGTACCAGAACCACTGACTTTGCAAACACCTTGCATACAGAGGCAAGAACCCATTTTAAGTCGTGATGGGCAGGGTACCAGCACCATGGCAGTACTCCAAGTTTAATGCAATGTCAGCAGTGTTGCACTAACGCCACATGTACCACAGCCAGACCTGCTCTGGTCTGCAGCACCTTATGTGGGGTCTCTGTTTGCATCTCCTTTGTCTTTCTTGTATTTTGAAAGAATAGAAAGGTAGTAAAAAACTTACCAGCACGGCTCGCAGCCCACTAGGTCTTCAGGAAAGGGCTGAACGCTGCTCGGACAGGGCTAGGAAGCCGTGTGCTGAAAGAAATAGCATGGAAAAAGAGAAATCAGCCCCTCCAGGCCCCCACTACCGCCCGAGTGCTCCCGGCTCTCCCAGCCACACCAGCGGGGCTGCGACCCCCACTCCTCCCACAACACCCACACCTCTGCCGAGCCCCGCCCGGCCCCTCTCAAGACACAGCCGCCCGCGCCGAGCTCCCCACAGGGGGGCGGCGGGGCCGGTACCGACGCAGGCGCCGCGCGGCCGTGACGAACAACGGCTGCCCACGGCGGGCGCGGCCCTTTAGCCCCAATTAGCTCCCTACCGGCCCCAGTGGGCGGCCTTTGTCCCCATCCCGGCCCCCACGGCCCCCTCACAGCCCCGCCGCCGCTCACCCCAACACCGGAGCCGCCACCGGTGCCGCCGCCGCCGCCCCGCCTCGCCTCACCTCAGCCGCGCCGGTCGCGCCCTGCCGGAGTCTCGCGAGATGTTGGGAGGGGGCGGGACAACCCCCTCCTCCCCGCTCTGCCATTGGTGGAGGCGGCTGCCGCTCCAGCGCGCGCGCGTGCGCGGCGCTCGGTGAGGGAGGCGGCGGCGGCCGTTGGGCGGCCGTTAACGGGCGCCGTGGGGGCTGAGGCGGAGGAGGAGGGCGGGAGGGGAGGGGAGGGGAGGGGGCGCCGCTGCCGCTGCCACTGAGCGGCCCCGAGGTAAGGGCGGCCTGCGGGGGGCCGTTGGCTGCGGAAGAGCGAGGCGGCGGCGGGTGTGTGTGCGAGAAAACGGGGATATTCCAAGCGATTAAAAAAAAAATAAATAAATAGTAATAATAAAGTTTCGTTTTTTGGCTTTTTTTTTTTTTTTAAAGCGTTTCGTGGAAATGCGGGTGGGTGGGTGGGTGCGGCGAGGCAGATAAAGCTTCCCCGGCGGCGGCGGCGGCGAAGGGGGGGGATGATAAGAGAGAGGGGACGGGCGGCAAAAATAAATAATAAATACAATAAATAATAAATAATAAAATAATTAAATAATAAATAAATAAATAAATAATAAATAAAGAAGGATTCCTGTGTCTTTTTCGCCGGCCGCTGCTCCGGGCCCTCCGTGCCGGCGGGCGGCGCTGCGGGGCCGGGGCCGGGGCCGGGGCTGAGGCGGGGCTGAGGCTGAGGCGGGGCCGGGGCCGGGGCCGGGTCCGAGGCCGGGTGCGGGTGCGGGGCGGGCGGCTCGCCGTATGCACGGGGCTGCGGGCGGGCGGCCGGCGGTGGCGGCGCTGAGGCGGGCGACGAGCGGCCGCCGCCATGGGCAAGAAGCAGAAGAACAAGAGCGAGGACGGGTAAGGAGGAGGAGGAGGAGGAGGAGGCAGGTAACGAGGCTGCCTTCGGGCTCCCTTCTCCGCCTCGTCCCTCCCCGGGAACGTGACAGCGCCGGTGCGGCGCCGCTGAGTCAGGCCCCGGCCGCGGCCTCGTGGCGGATAGGGGTCCGTTGGAGGCCGTTGCGGCCGTTGGGGCCGTTGGGGGAGCCGGCTGCCGACGGGTGCGGCTCAGCGGCTCGTCAGGGTGCCGGGTTGTGGCCCTGCCGAGCGGCCGTGTGGCGGCTGAGGGGACGGAGCGCTGGGGCTCGGGGTAGAGCCGTAACCACGAGGCCGCAGGCGGTGTGAGCCGCTCAATGCGCCTGTTTTTGGGCAGTACCCCTGTCAGATCTTGCTTTCTGGGCAATACGAGTGTCTCCTTAGCTGAGGTTTACCTCGTCTTCACTATTTTTTCCTCACGCTTTTTGCCGCACCACGCAGGCTGTTCTGTAGGGCCTGTTGGCATCGCGTGTCCTGGGCTGTGATCCGCAGGTGCGCCTCAGGAGCAGCGCTGGCGGGGAGATGAGTCAAGTGTCACCTGGGGAGGAAGGAAGAGGGGTTGGATTTTTGTGTGCTGCAGGAGGGTTGGCCTCGTGCTCTTCGTATGTGCTGCAGTAGGTGCCAGAACCATCAGGGTTGAAAAGCCCTCCAAGATCACCAGGTCCAACGACCCCCCTACCAACAGAGTCACCCACTAACCCTGTCCCCAAGCACCAGGACCAGCCTTTCCTTGAACACCCCCAGGGACAGTGACTCCACCACCTCCCTGGGCAACCCGTCCCAGTGCCTGACTGCTCCTTCTGAGCAGAAATGTCTCCTCATTGCCAGCCTGAACCTCCCCTGGGGCAACCTGAGGCCATTCCCTCTGGTCCTGTCACTGGTTACCTGTGAGCAGAGGCTGACCCCCAGCTCCCCACAGCTTCCTTTCAGGTTCCTGTAGAGATCAACGAGGTCTCCCCTGAGCCTCCTCTTCCCCAGACCAAACACCCCCTGTTCCCTCAGCCGCTCCTCACAGGCCTTGTGCTCCAGAATCATGCAGAAGCCTTTGGGTACTGGAGCACTGCTCTCCTGGGCCCTTCCAGTGGCAGTGGTGGCTGTGAGAGAGACTGGGAGAGCCTTCGTGCCCACCAGGTGCCTCGTTCTCTTCCGTGTGTCTGTAAAGTACCAGGCTAAGGCCTCTGTCGGTCGCCATGTCTCATTTATTGCCAAATCTCATTTATGGCTAAAAGAAGGAAGCTTAACAGAGAAGCCAGAAGCTGATTGTTAGAATAACTGAAATCTGATTGTTACAGAAAAAGAAGGAACAAGGATGCAGTTAAAATAGCTTACCATCTCACTGCTGCTCCGAGCCCTACGCTCGGTGGTTTCACCCTGGGGGAGGTGAGCTTTTGTGGCAAGTTGTCAGCATCAGGTGTCCTTCACGAGGAGCGATACGAGTGCTCGTGTGGATGGTTTTGTCTTCCTCGCTGTAGGAAACACATGAGATCATTTTTATATGCTTGCTAACATGCTTTTAAGTCTTTGCTCTTGGTCTGTAGCTGCATGCTATATCCAAACACCCGAAAGGTGGCCTATCTTTAATACGATTTCTTTGTTCTGTTTATTACCCCTCAACCAGTTTTGTCCAGGTCCCTGTTTCTTTCAGCTGACCTTGGAGAGCTGTGGGGTATCCAGTGCCGTGCCCTGTACGAGGCATCTGTTTATGTCCTGTGCCTGCGTCTCCACCTCTCAGCGCCTCTGCGTTCATACCAGGCCCGTGTTTCTCTGCTGCGACGCTGTGTTAGGGTTGGGAATACCTCGTTCTGTAGGGTAACTGCTCACCGCTGCTCCCTGCGCGAAGCTCTGGTTGCAGCATGCCAGGGTAAACAGCAGTGAAGCCCAATTAGGCATGGACACCTGGTCAATTAGAAAGATTGCTGCCACGGCTAAATCAAGCAAAAGTTACAGGCGGGTTAGGAGAAGTTCAGCCAAAGCAAGCTTGAGGCCTTGCAAACGCAGCACAGCTCACCAACTGCTACCGGAGCGGCAATACCGTGTTATGGGGCTGCAAAGCACGTGGCAGCACGAGGGGTGAGCTGGGGGACTGGCTTGGACACCCCCAGTCCCTCTCCTTGCTGTTGCCGTAAGGTGAGGGAGGAATGGCTGCAGTCAGTTTTGTTTCCCACATACTCAATTCTGTGCTGTGCCGAGTTGTTCGTTTCCTTCTTCTTTTCCCCTTTCGTTTCCTGACAGCTACGTTTTAGATCCAGTCCCTTGCATCCCTTCTGGCTGCACGCAGCAGCTCAAGGGCACAGCTTGCAGCGCAGAGGAAGCACATGGGAAGATGCAGATGTGTGTCAGTGTGACAAATGTTGCTTTGGGCCCTGGTGTGACAGAAAGGAGATTTTCTGCTTTTCTCCTGACGTACTGAGACGAGTTACAGAAGGTACCCGTCATCTTGACTCTGCCCTCCTCCTCTTTTCCCCTTTCACCCCCATGGCTTTGGCTTAGGTTGTGAGGTTTCCCCCTGCTGCATTTCTGCTGAGTACAGCAGAGGCCATGCTGATTAGGAACGAATTATGTCCAGGTAAATGAGGCTGAGGAAGAATTTTGGCGTGGGAGTCGGCTGTAAGTACACAAGGACGAGTCCCTGAGGGAGGCGATAGCAGCGGTGAGCAGGGCAGGAATGGGAATGTGGGATCACTGCCTGTTATGAACACGCTGCTGTCCGAACAAATGCACCTTCAAAGCCGTTCCTGCTCTACCAGCACTTCTGCTGCGCTCCCGTGGAGTTTATTATTGCCTCCTGCCCCTGCATTGGTGTGCGTGGCTACGTGAATGAGGGATGTGTTTATGCAGGGTGGCCAGGCGGCATGGTAGAGGTGCTTTGTGAAGGTGAAGAGTGTCTCGGGTCGTAAATCGCTGCTGGGCCATATGGAAGCTGCCTTAATGGCTTCCCCTGGAACCCGTGCGGCTGTGTTGGTCGCTCGCTTTCAGATGCAACCTCCCAGTAAAGCTGTCAATAAAAATACGAGCCATCTGATCATCCAGACACCCCTAATGGAAGTGTGGGTGTCTTGATGTGTAATCTGGCACCTCCCGGGAGCGATGGTGCTGTGCTTTGGTTTTTGGATAGGCCTGTGATGGCAGAAGGTATGTCAAGGTTCTCCCCTGCTGTTTTTGTGAGTTTAGTATAGGATTTTTTTTTTTTTTAAATGCGTGGGAAGCAGGGCTGTTTTTAAACTGCAGAACTGTGTGCTTTGAATTCAAGCCTCACACTGCTGCTGTAGATTTTTCGAGTCAATGTTCTATAAGCAGTAAGCTACAAATAATTTCCTGCCTGGAACCTCAATCTTTCCCCTTGGCTTTCTCAGCTTTTCATATGCATTTTTCCCCTCTTCTCCCAGCTTAGTCCTCTCTTTCTTTTCTTCTTCATAGTTTTCTTCAGCTTTCAGCACGTAATCTTTAGGTGTGTTTGTTCCTGTGCCCTTTGATATGGTGAGCTGGTGCCTGGGCATACTGCTCTGATCATTCATGCGTATTGCTTTGGAAGTTACAGGTGCCAGCTGTGATTCTGCAGCCAAGAACGAACACTGCTGCTAAAATAAGACGTACAGTGCTGCTGCTGCTGCTATATATTGCTTCCTATTCTGCAAATTAAATTGCCGGCACCATCTATTAATCATTCTGCTTGGCCCTTTCTTGTTAGAGTATTAAATGAAATCTTTGAGGTGTTGCCTTGGGAAGTTCTGTGGAGGCTCCAAAGCCTGCAAGCACCTGTAGTCGAGAAGCATTCTGTACCCCAGAAAATTTACAGCCGCTGTCTCTGTCTGCTTCTGGAGAATAGTTCCACAACAAAGCTTCTCCAGCAGCTGATAAGCCCCCGAGATCCCTGTTTTGCACATCTCATCTGGGAGCTGCCAGGATTGTGTACCGAAAGATGGAGTACAGCAGTGCAAAATAACTCCTCCATTAGAGAAATTTATTGGCCTGTTCTACTCAAAAATATATTTATGCACTCCCCAAAGCTATGATTTTTAACATAAGCATTGCATATTTGTAAGAAAACTGTTTTTATACATTTTGTTGGATATTTTTTGAAAGCAAAGCATCATATCACTGCATAAACACTGTGAGGATCCTCAGATATTTGCAGTAATG